CCCCCCAGTGCCTGCCTCTCTGGGACTCCCCACCCCCCCTTAGCCTCTCCCACCGGCCACAGCTGCTGGAGAATAAATTTGGGATGCTGATGCTGAAGTGTTTGGATGTTTTCTTGTAAGCTTGGAGAGTGAACGGGGATGCGGAGGTGGGACATGATTGTTCATAGACACAAACACAGGGACAGGGGCTGGGGGGGAAGAGAGGGGAGCTCAGGGCCCATAAAGTGAGAGGGGAGACACGGGGTGAGAGAGGGGGAGAGCAGAGGACCAGATAGATAGAGACCCGAAAAGAGAGACAGAGGAGAGAGAGACCCAGAGAGAGAGAGAGAGAGAGAGAGAGAGAGAGAGAGAGAGAGGAGAGAGGAGAGAGAGGAGAGACTCAAAGAGAGTGAGACAGAGACAGAGAGAGAGGAGAGAGACAGACACAGAGAGACACACCCAGACACACACACACACACACACACACAGACCAGGAGAGAGTAAGACAGAGACAGAGAAAGAGGGAGAGACAGACAGACACATACACACACACAGACCCAGAGAGAGTGAGACAGAGACAGAGAAAGAGGGAGAGACAGACACACACACACACATACACACAGAAAGAGATGAGAGAGACAGAGACAGACCCAGACACACACACACACCCAGAGAGACACACAGAGAGGAGAGAGGAGACAGAGACAGACCCTGAGAGACACAGAGAGACAGAGATGAGAGACAGAGAGACACACAGAGAGAGGGAGACAGAGACCCAGAGATAGAGATAGAGCCCAGGAAATGAAGAGAATACCACAGAGACCACCCAAGTGACACGCGTGCAATGAAAGATGTCCACCGAGTGTGTGGGGGGGCGGGGACCCCAGGCACAGGGACACAGCTCGCACGTCTTCACCAGAGCCACCCCCCACAGGTTCACAGACGCACCCACACCCAGACCCAGACAGAGACTGGGCAGACGTCCCGAGTGGGAAGATGGAAGGCTGGCCTCCCATCCAGACACCTAGAGGCTCGGGCGAAGCAGAAGACCCCCAGACGACCAGAACCCGTGAGCTTCAGAAGCGGCCACGGGCGCAAAAGGCAGGCGGACGTGCCTCCGGGGCCTCCTTTCCTTGACCCACTTGCGAGTCGGGGGAGTGCAGGGGACAGTCCTGCTGGACTACATTTCCCAGAAGACGTCGCGACGGACCCTTCCCCCCGAGTGCGGCCCCTCGCCACAAGGGCTGTTGGGAAATGTAGTCCCGGGGCCGGGGCAGGCCGGCAGAGCGGTGTGCCTATGTCTGTGTGCGTGGGGGTGGGGGGGACTGAGCCCCGAGGCTTCACAGGCTTCCTCGCGGACCCCGGCGCCGCTCTCCCCCTGCAGGTTCCTGGGCCTCCAGACCCCGGGCCAGCCGGATGCCGGAGGTCCCCCACCGAGTCTCCCCCATCGCCGCCGCGACGCCCCGTCCCATGTCCGCAGTCTCCAGCCCCCGCTCCGACCCTCGGCGGGCGGCCTGCCCCTTTAAGAGTGGCCCCGCTGACATCACGGCGGGGGTGGGGGGGCTGGCCCGGCTCCCGGCTCCGCGGCGGCTGCAGGACCCGGCTCCGCTCTGCGCCCGCCCGCTGCTCCGGGGACCCCGGCCTGGGACGCCCCCTCCCGCGTCTTCCCGGCGTCCAGACCCCAGGCTCCGCCCCAGGCCTGGCTGGATCCCCAGTCCTCCTCCGAGCCCCCCCGGGCTCGTCCCTGCATCCTCTCCTTCTCGGGGTCTCTGTCTCTGTCTCCGTCTGTCTCTCTCCGCCTGTCTCTTCTCCGAGCTCAAGGTCTCTGCATCTCCGTCTCTCAGCCCGAGGCCTCTGAGTCTCCCCGTCTCTTGCTGTCTCTTTCCGCGTCTCTGACCTCTCCACTTCCAGGACCTCGGGGTCTCTGCGCCCGGGAGGGGTGGCGGGGGTCTCCCACCCCGCCTCTGCCTCTCCCTTCCCTCCCCGCCTCCCTCCGGCCCAGACCCCCGAGTCTCTGCATTTCCCGGCCTCGAGTCTCGGCGCTGCCTCTCTGGGTGCCTCTGCCGCTCTCGGGCTCTCTGCCTCTGTTTCTATTCTCTCTGCCTCCCTGCCTCCCCCATCCTCAAGGCCCAGCTCGCTCCCTCCCCGCATCCTCTCCCCCCTCCCCGCCCCTCCCCTCCTCCGCGGCAGCCAATGAGCGGCCGCCGGTCCCTGCTCCCGGCTCCGTCCGCCGAGTGAGGCCGCGGGCGCGGGGGGTGGGGGGCGGAAGGCCGGGAGGGGGCCGGGACGCCGGGCTCCGGGGCGGGGGCGGGGG